AAAAGAATTGAGACGTACTATGTACCTGTACCACCTCCCCACAATGAATATATGTACTGTGAGCCTGTACTGAAAAATTAAAATTTTAAATATTTTTCATCAAAAAGTATGGACCAAAGCCAAATCATACCAGTCCAAATTCCAGCACCTCCACTTAAGTCTGTGACCCTGGACAAGTCACAGAAACCTCTCTGTGAGTCCATGTTCTTCTCTTCACCATTGTAACGAAGGCTGAAGGCTAATAATGGGTTATAAGCCCCCAGAACAGACGGTAGATGCTATGGTTCATCATCACGGCTCAGCGGTGTTGCCATCCTAGAGATCAGTATCTTCCCTAGGGTCACAGGGCCAGCAGCTGGGAGGGAAGATGAGAAGCTGTGTCTGCTGGTGTCCAAGGTGGCACTCTGGCCCTTGAGCATCCAGCCCCACTTGCTCTGTGATGGGAGTCCTGTGGATAACAGGCAGGAGGTCTGGGCCTCCTCCTCAGTGAGCTCTAGGCTTCCTATTTGCAACCCATGTAGTCTCTGTTGCTGCATTTATAAAATGAGGATTAGACCAGCAGCCCCATCTCACAGATGCAGTTGCCTTGTTTGTTTTTGGTCCTTTTTGATTTTACTGTATTTTTTTGGTTGAATTGTTTTTTAGAGGAGGTTTATTTTTTGTTTTTGGTGCCAAGGACCGAACCCAGGGCTTCCAGCTTGCTAAGCAAGCATGCTACTGCTGAGCCAAATCCCCAGCCCCATCTCACAGATGCAAGAAGTACTTCAAGGATCAAGTGCAAGGACTGGGGCTGGATTAATGGGGTTCAGCTGCACACACCTGGAAAATTCTCATTCAGGAGCAGCAGTGCTTTGTCCAGCAGTCCTTATGACTGGGTTCTGACTTCACTGGATTGTGTGGGAGGGGAACACCTAGTGCCCCAAGACTAAGTAAATCAGGTGAGGGTACAGGCTGCTGGGACAATCTAGGAGAAAGAGTTCCCCTCCAGAGATGGGAATCCAGAGACAGCCTTGGCCTGCTCAGAACATAAAGGACCGGAACCCTCCAAAGTGAGCTCTTTCTATGGCCTCCTTTGAAGTTCACAGTACCTTTTCACCAACCAGGAAACTGGGGCCCCAGCAGAGGTTGTATACCTAAGGTCACCCAGCTAGTGAGTGACAGGGCTTGGATTTGAAGCTGGCTCACCTTCCTACCAGGTGAGTGGCCACACCCAGAGTCCCTAGACACCAGGGCTCCGGCTAACTGGACAGATTTAGATGCAGCTTCCCTAGACTCCCCAGGGTTGAGTCACCCTGCAGCATTGCTCAGGAGGGTGTGGGAGGGCCCTTCCCACCAGACAGGTACTCTTTACACACAGCCCGAAAACCACCTGGATGGCCTGCAGACCCTGTCCCGGCTGGCAAACAGGGCAGGTGGGGGTGGGAGAGTAATGTCAAGAGTATGTTTTGTTTGTCCTGCATTAGTCACCCCTGTCTGGGAACAGTCCCTGGAATAGGAGAGCAAATCATGTGGGCCCCTGGCCACTCCACTCCCTCCCTGACAACACAGCAACTGCCCCAGGCTCAGGTGCCCTCTCTCACCTGCATCTCCTTTCTAATACACACTATTGGAAATACATACTGAAACCTGACCTGAAGAACCCAAAGCATGGCCACTCAGCCCCCTTTCCTTCACAGGGGTTGTGGCCTTCTTCAAATTCTTAGACCCTCAGGTGGTAATTGGGGGGTCCTGGATCCTCACTTCAGCTCTTGGCAGTCAGCAGAGTGACCTGAGCACTTAATGGCTCCGAGACTCAGTTTACACAACAGCCAGATGAGGCAACATGGAGCCCATAGCCAGGAAAGACTTGGCCATACCCATGGTGCAAATTTCATGCCCAGAGAATTGCTAGAAAGTACGAGCTCTCGGAGGATGCACCCAGTGGGCACACAGTAGTCTTGCATGCTGGTACTTTAGCTTCCAGTCCTGAGAGGAAAGGACATACTACCATGAGTACTAGGGATCCTAGTGACCCACAGGGCAAATAAAAAGACGTGCCCTGGAGAGGCTAACAGCTGAGAAGACAAGCCCAGCAGCCTCTGAAAACAGGCCAGTGTGAGGCCAGTTAAGTAGGGTTGTATCAGGTTCTCACACAGGAAAACCCTCTGCAGGGAAGCAGGAGATTCCAGCTGGGGGTGAGGACGGGTGCATCATGGGAACAACCAGAAGAAAGCAGGGTGAGCTGCCAATTCCCCACCAGTCTTCCAGGGTGGTGGGATCCCATTGGTTCCAGGTTTGCCCCTAGAAGTTGAGTGCTTAATTATACCCTGTCTTCCCCCACTCCACACAGTGTCTATGTCAGCCCCTTTCCACAACTTGGTTGTAAGTTCCCTAAATACACATAAAATGAGCTTGCAGCCCACACACTGCTGGGCACATAGGAGAATCTTAATCTACTTGTGGTGATGGCACAACCGTTAATATGTTCCCCTCCAACAGTTTCCTTCCTCTTCCTCACCCTAGAAGACCTGGCAAGTTCACCTACATCTCGAGGTTAAACCGGGTACGGTTCCTGCCCCTCCTCCAGGAGCCCGCAGACCCTATTACAGAATCATTCCCCACCACTAAGGGGAAGAAGTATCATAACACAACAGCTGGAGCCTCTGGCTCTGCAACCACTTACTAGCACGCATCCTTGAGTGCTTTATTTAATAGCTCCAGGCTTCAGTTTTCTCGCTTGTGGTATGAGGATGCTAACAGTACTACAGTTACATCTGAGCACGTGGTCAGGATGAAGGAGCGCCTGTCAAAGTCTGAATCCAAGAAGCGCCTGTATTGTGTCATGATTGCTTCTTCACTCTCCTCTCCTCACCCCCATCTATTAAAGCTGGAACTGTACTCACATTCAAGGCAACAGTTCTCATTGGTGAACCCTGACCTCAGGGGCACTGGTCCCAGGATGCCCAAGGATACAAAACTCCACGTGTCCTTGGGCCCCTTTTATAAAATGGTATAGTGTTACACAGAACCTACACATGTCCTCCTATATACTGTAGTTTAAATCATCTCTAGATTACTAACAATACCTAATATAATGTAAATGCTATGTAAATAGTTCTTATACTGTATTGATCAAGGAAGAATGACAGGAAAAAAGTCTGTACATGATCAATACAGACATTGTTTTTCCCCTGAATTTTCATCCAAGACTAGTTTAATATGAAGATGCAAAACCTGAAGACACAGATTGTGATTATGAAGGACCTGCACACCCCCACCCAACACAGTGCCTACTGAGTATTTATATATGTTTTCTCACTTCATGCCAACCACCATGGCAGTGGGTACTCCCATTTTTAGTTATTTATACAGGTAAGGAACTTGTGCTGGGACATGTCTGGTGCAGGATTTGAACTTGGGTCTACTTCCCATGTGGAATTTTGCCTCCCTGACACAAGATGACTATCCTCAGATGGGGCCGTTTTTTTTTTTGTTTGTTTGTTTGTTTGTTTTGTTTTGTTTTGTTTTGTTTTGTTTTGTTTTTTTGTGGAACCGGGGATTGAACTCAGGCTCTTGAGCTTGCCAGGCAAGTGCTTATTCTACTGAGTTTTTTCCCCAGCCTCAATCCATTCCAGGAACAATGGCCCCTTTCAAGCCCTCCCGGTATAGGTGACATTTCTGGCATCCTGTGCCAGTCCCTGTCCACCCCTCCTCTGCCCCCAATCACTCCTAGGCAAAAGCTTCCAAAGTGTTCTATGTCACGCAACAGCTAGATGGCTTCAGGGTGTCCAGGATGAAGGGCCCCTCCCTCCAAGACAACCCCTGGTGTTGAATCCCCATGTCAGACTGGGCTGCTTCCCACTCTGGGGGTGCTCACCTGCATTTTCTCCAGCATCTCGAAGAACTCCGCAGACTGAAAGACACAAAGAGGGAAAGGGAAAGAAACGACGTCAGCCAGGAAGTGAGCTGAGAAAGCCTGCTGCTCACCGTCTGGAAGCAGAGCCAGGGCCTTCCCCAGGGATGAAATTCATTTGGGTCAAGAGACGAGATAATTTGATTTTGCCTTTACAGAGCTGGAGGGCCAGTACACCCCACACAATAGAAGAGAAAATAACACAGGCCTGGGCTGGCAGGCAGCCCAGGGGAGGGCAGCCACTCAGTCCCTTTCGCAGGTGGGGGTTCAGGGACCTAAGGAAAAGCCTAGCTTCCCCGATACCCTTGCAGAGATTCAGCCTTCAGCAGGACTCAGGTCGAAGATGTTTTTAACCCAGCGGTAGGGACAAGATGTCCAACACTCATGGCTTCCTGACATCTGTGGCAGCACAGGCTTTCTGTATCCTCCGATAAAACGTCACTTAGTGTGGGGCAGAGCAAGCCAAAACACTGAGCCACTCTAGCCAGGGCAGCCAAGGGGGCTTGAGCTCCAGCCCCTCTTTCAGGCACCTGAATGGATTATTTTTAAAATCCCAAACTGTATCTATCCAAACCTTAATCTATTTTGGTGCCTCCCTTATAAGCTCTAGATAAAGGGCAGGAAAGAAAATGGAGTAGACAGCTGAGGAGCAGGCTGCATTGCCCTAACAAAGGATAGACAGGGGTCCCTTGGAAGACTCCCCCTCCCCCTCCATGAATACAGCCCCACGTTTTTATGTTAACATCGCTGTGTGCATCTGGGCACTGGCTGCCATGTGTCAATGAGTGCCCACAACAGAAACAGGCAGTCCCCAGATGAAAGACAGCTGTGATGAGGAGGAACACATTTGCCCTGGTCACTTCTCCGGGCAGAGGCAGAGCCTCCCAACACTCCCTTCCTCTGCCCACACCAATGAACCAGAACCACCTGGGGGTCCCCAGAATTCTTCAGAAGGGAAGCATGATAGAAAGGATTCTTCAGGGGTGACCTGAGGAGACCATTCCTGCTACAGGTTCCATACAACTGCTCTCAAGCCAAAGCAAGCCTACAAGCATCAGAATGTCTGTGACCTACCCACAGTTCAGGATGCAGGGCTTGGAAACCCCACACATGAATGTGCAGAAGTAGGCTCAAGCCACTCAACACTCTTGACCAGGAACAGGCTTAGGGCACGTTCATCCTTGACTAGAAGAAGCCACCAAACCCTCAGATCCCAAACCTACCCTTCCCCCTCACTCGCTCTAGGTACAAAAGCATCAGCCACACTGTGTATTCTTACCAACTCCGGGATCCAGCCATAATGAGCTTGTACAAATTAGTAAAGATAGAGAACAAGGACATGAAAGAATCAACATTATAAATACACAGACCTCTGACCCCACAATTACCCTTTAAGCAATCTGTTCTCTAACACATTTACATATATACACAATACAATTAAAATCTTCATTGCTGCATTACAGTACTCACCATAGTAAAAAATGTCAACAGAGGCTGGTGAGATGGCTCAGTGGTCTAAAGCACCTACTTAGAACAAGCTAAGCCAAGCAAAGCACAGGGACTGCGGTTCAATCCCCCAGCACCACATGCCAGCCAGCCCCGCCCCCTGGTGGGCTGAGCTGGCCACACACATACAATAAATAAATAAATAAATAAATAAATTTTTTTTTAAATGTCAACAAATGTAGATCGATAGCAAATTGGCTAGAGTAAGCTATGGTCATAGAATAAAATACAAGTACAAGCCCCTCATTTCTCTAAGCACCTGCCCGCCACTCTTGAGTGTGTCCTATATAATCCTTCTCTAAATACCCCTTCTTGTGTCTCTTAAAAAAAAACAAGTATTCCGCACCAGCCCCGCCCCCAGGGCACGCTAAGCTGACCAGATCCTGGCATGGTGGCACACGCCTGCAACCCCAGTGCTGGGAAGGCTGAAAACAGTAGGATCTCCATGAGTCTGAGCTGTAGAGTGAGACCCTATACCAAATACATAAATGGAAAAAAAATACAAGTACTATAAACAACTATATGTCAATAAATTAGATGAAATGGACAAATTCCTAGAAAAATCATGTTATCAAAGCTGACTCAAAAAGAAGTAAAACATATTTAAAAAATCATATAAAAATAAAGAGATTTAATTGGCTAGCAAAAAACTACCACAAAGAAAAGTTTGGATTCAGGTTTTTTCACTTGTAAATTCTCCTGGATATTTAAAGGCTAATTACTACTAATTCCTTATACTCACTTATCAAGGTAGTGAAAAGTCAACACGAAGACTAGGAAGAAATGTCTGCAAATTTGAAAGGGACTTATATCTTTAATATATCTAGAACTCCAATAACTCAATTTTTAAAAGAAAACTTAATATTAAAGTAGGCAAAGAATATGAATTAACATTTCCCCCCGAAGATACACAAATGACACTAAACACAGGAAAAGGCACTCATATCACTAACCATCAGAAAATACAAAACAAAACAACACTGAGATTCCACACATACTGACAAGATAACTGTAATGAAAAACCAAAAAGTAAGTATGACAAGGATGGGGCGAAATTGGAATTTTCATGCACTGCTAGTGGGAATACAAAGCAACTCAGCCTCAGTAAAAAATGATATTGTAGTTTCTCAAAAAGTTAAACATAGGAGGGCCGGCCAAATAGCTCAGCGGATTAAAGTGCCTGCAAAAAGGTGCAGGGGCCAGGAGTTCGATCCCCGGGCCTGTCGTGCCCTGAGATGGCAATTGAGACTGGGTGTGGTGGCGTGTGCCTGTAATCCCATCTCTTGGGAGGCTGTAAATAGGCAGATCACTATGCATCCAATCTAGTAGTGAGAACTTGAACACCCTGTGAACCATTCCCTAAAATAAAAAAAAAAAAAAAAAAAAAAAAGTTATTCATTGAGTTAACACATGATACAAAAATTTCACTCGTCTGTATCCAAAAGAACTAAACACACACTCAAATACTTGCACATGAATGTTCACAGCAGCATTGTTTATATTTGTCAAAGGATAATAACCAGGGCCGGGGAGATGGCTCAGTAGGATAAGCGCTTGACTGGCAAACGCAAGGATCTAAGTTCAATCCCCGGTTCTGCCAAAAAACAAAAAACAAAAAACAAACAAAAAAAAAAGGACGATAACCCATCAACTATTGAGTGGAAAAAACAAAATGCGGCATATCTATACAATGGAGTAATAATCAGCCATAAAAAGAAATAAAGAACTGACACATGTTACAATGTAGATGCACTTCGACAACATTATGCTAAGTCAAAGAAAGCAGACATAAAAGACTAAGCAAAAAATGAACAAGGAAATACCAGAAATGAACCAAACCTATGAACGAGTAGATTTAATAGATATATAGAAAGTATTCTAGCCAACAACAGAATATACATTCTTTTTCAGCAACATATGGTACTTTCTCTGAAATAAGCAATATACTAGCTAATAAAGCCTGCCTGGGTAAATGCAAAAGAACTGATATTTTACTAGGCTTATTATCAAATCACAATGTAATGAAACTAGAAATCAGTAGCAAAAGAACCACAGAAACATGCAGACCTATGCAAACGCTTGCATAATCAATGTGTCATAGATGAAATTAAGGAAGAAATTAAACAGTTTCTACCAGAACCTACACAACACAATGAAAGCAGTCCTAGGAGGGAAGTATATAAGCTGTGAATAGCTATAACAGAAAAACAGAACAAGCCCAAATAAATAACTTAATGATGCATCGCAAGGGCCTAGAAAAACAAGAAAAATGCAAATCCAGAGCTTGTACAAGGAAGGAAACTATAAAGAACACAAAAGAAATGAAACAAAGATTTCTAAAACAATAAAAGACTCAATAAATCAAAGATCTTATTTGAAAGAATAAACAAATTATGGAAACCACTAGCCAATCTTACCCAAAAAAGGAAAGACACAAATCAAAGCAATTTTAAATGAAAAGGGAGAAAGCACAACAGACAGTCAAAATCCAGAAAATTATTATAAACTATTTCACAAACCTATATGCAAAAATCTGGAAAACTCAAAAACATGAAGATGTTCCTAGATATATATGAATTACCAGACTGAACCAAGAAGACTTAAAAATCTTGAATAATTCAGTAACACAGTCACTGAAATTGAAGCAGTAATTTAAAAAAAAAAAATTGCCAACTAAGAAAAGCTCAGGACCTGATGGATTCACTGCTGAATTATATAAGAATTCCAGGGGAGAGTTAACACCAATGTTACTCAAACTCTTGAATGAAATTGAGAAGAAAAGAGTATTTCCAAAATCATTCTTGGAAGTTAGCATTACCCTGATCCCCCAACCAGACAAGGGACCAACAAAGACAGCTACAGGCTAATTTCACTAATAAACATAGATGCAAAAATCCTCAACAATACTATCAAAAAGAATGCAACAAATGCATCAAAAAGATGATGCATCATGATAAACCACGCTTCAGGGCCAGAGATTTAGCTCAGTGGCACAGTGCCTGCTTGGCAAATGTGAGGTCCTGAGTTCAATTCCCAGTACCAAAAAAAAAAAAAAAAAAAAAAAAAAAAAAAACACCCAAGCTTCATTCCAGAGCACAAGGATAATTCAAAAATATACAAATTAATAAATGTAATTCATCACATAAACAGAAGGACAAAATGTCACATGATCACCTTAATAGATATAGGAAAGGTCTTTGACACAATCCAGTATCCATTCATGATAAAATAAAATAAAAAATAAGAACATAGGTATAGAAGGACCTTATCTCAAATCTAATAAAAGCCATTTATGACTACCAACAATCAACCTCAAATCAAATGGGGAAAACCTGAAAGCTTTCCCTCTAAAACAAAGAACAAGGCAAAGATGTTCACTATCACCACTCCCATTCAATATAGTCCTCAAAATATTAGCTACAGCAGTTAGGCAGGAAAAAGAAAAGGATAAAAAAAATCATTATTTGCAGATGACATGATCCTCTACTTACAAG